TCCACTCCCCCCCACCCCACAAAGGGATCTGCAGCTTCCAGCCTCACCCCAGTTGTGTTGTGTCCCCCCCCTCCCCATATGAGCCGTAATTAACTGTTTTCTTTGAACGCCCCTGGGAGTTTTCCTCAACACCAGGCAGAACAGAGGTTTTGAGGTCCAGCATTTGTCCTGCATTTCCCCCAAAAAACTTGTCCCTTTGACCCTCCTCAAAAGCAATGCTTTGAGCAGGGTCTCAGCCCTCCTGGCTGCAGCGTCAGGCCACGCAAGGGGACCATCCGGAACCCCCCGCGTGTGCCGGAGCTGCTGTTGCATTCCCGGGAGGCTCCCGCTGAGCCGGGTAGAGCTGTTCCTCCCTCTCCAAACCTCCCCCAAAGGGGACTTTCTGCCCCTTCACCCCAGCTGACAGGAGGCAGGCTTGGAGCCGGTGCTGTCTGGGGGCCAGGGTAGGGACCATGCTGAGGGGAGGTGGCTGGAGGGGCAGAGACCTCCCAGCTGGAGGTCAGTCTTTGGGGACAGGAGGCCACCTGGGTAGACACGTGTCCCAGGGGGTTCTCACCCGTTTAGGACACCAGAGGCACTGACACTGGAGAGCAGAGCTCTGATGTGGCACTTTGCAGGCTGGGGCTGAGGGGCAGCACCCCATGCCGAGGCCAAGCCCCGCTCGTGTGCCGGCGTAAGCCACAGCGCAGCCCAGGCTGGAGCCAGGTCATTTGGCAGCCCCTATTGTCACGGGCCCAGAGTGAGAAATATTGCCGCTCCCAGGGGCTCCGCATAGATATGACACAGGGGCTTTGCCTGCCCGGGGGAGCAGCCCCCCCAGCTTTGTTGGCAGAAGGAGAAGGGACCCCATGGCAAAAGCATCTGCTGGGGTTGCAGCAAAATAGGTACAGCTGCAGGCGCCAGAAAAGGCTCAGCATCACCTGCACACACTTGCCAAAGGCAGAAGTCACCACCAGGTCTCCAATATTGAAAAGACTCACTGAAAACACAGTTTTCAAATATTGGTGTTTCAGAACAGCCCTGCTGTTTCATCCCTTGCCCTTTCCACTTCTTTGCATTTCTTTAACTTTTACAGGGCACAGAGATACATTTACATGAGTTTTCCCCTCTAAATAATGAATTTAGCAATTCTTAAAAAAAACCCACAAACCCAAAGGTAGAAATAAGAATAAACATGCAAAACTAATCCAAAATCTGGGGAAAAAAATACAAGATAACCTCCAGCCCCAAATATCCAAGCAGTACATGCAACTCAATGCTAAAATAAGCCTCCTCAAACACAGGGGGGGCGGGAAACAGCTCTCTGATCAGAACTAGAAAACATTAGAAATGACCAGTTTTATCAGCCTCCTCCCAAGATGCCAGGAGGGCACCGTGCCATGCATCCCTTGCCACTGCCTTGACAGCCTCCCTGCAGCACACAAGGCGAGAGGTGGCCAAGCACAAGGCTGAGCACACTGTGCCGTCCGCCCCCCCCCCCCCGCCCGCCAGGAGCCCCCATGAGAGGCCAGTGGGTTCACCCTAGACAGGGACACAGCACATCAGATCCGTGCTGCTGCAGCACAGGATTTCACTTCCCAACAGTAATGGCGGTATTGATCTCTCTAAACGGTGGGATTTGGGCCTTAAGGTCTTTAGCTCATTTTTCCACGTGGAAGGTTTTTCCACCTTTCCCCTAGTGCCACGCTGGGGAAGAGCAGCAGCTCCCAGCCATGGCAGCTCTCCCTGCTGAGCTCGGCTGGCAGGAGCACACGCTCCCCATTTTGGAGAAACATCAGCCACTACACGAGTTACCCGTAGGTTTGCACCAATCCCACCCACAGAGAAACAGCAAAGCTGCCCACGCAGCACAGGCAGCTGCCCCAGCAGGGAAACATTCACCGGGAAGGACACAGCAAAGTCCAAAAGCAGTGCTCAAATACCTTTGAAAAAATCTGCATTTCAGGTACTTCAGGGAAAGCCTGATGCAAGTCCAGCAAAACCAGTGGGTTGGAGTCATACTGAAGGTGCAGCCGCCCCCTTGCTGCCCCAACCAGCAGCATTCAGAAAATCCTGCATTTCCCTATTACACAAACCCCCTTCACTGCAAAACCCACCCCGTAAGATGTAAGCTGAGGCTTAACTTATTTAAGTCAATGATGCTCCTCACCTGCTGACAGCTAAGGCAGCACCGAGGTGCTGTGCAGGTGTGAAGTGCTAATGCACGAGCAGCACGGGGCTGATTTGGCTGCCCGAGCCCAGGGTCGGAGCCTTGGCAGAGGTAAATCCCCCAAGCCCACGCTGCTGCCGAGCTGGGATGGTTTGCGCCTGTCGGCTTTGAGGAGGATTTGGCTGGAGGACAGCAGGCAAAATTTCAGCCTGGAGAGATGGGAACAGGATTTCTAGCCTTACACTGGAAATTATATCCATTTTTCATATCCGTTTTGAGTTTTCAAAAGCATTAGATTGATTCATTTGTAAGTGTAGATTTTGTTGTTGGAAATTATTTTACACACATTTTTAGTATGAAGATAGGAAACTAAAAGCTCTCAAATCCATCTGCCTGGAACAGTGTGTCAAAGAACAACACACGAATGGCTACGTCGGCTTTCTTCTCCATGGGGTGCAAAATAATTTGGGGTCCTCAAATCCTCGCTAGGAAGAGAATAATGTGTAAATAAAGTGCATGGCCTGAGCTCTTCGGCAGTTCCTAACTCCTGCTGATATTGATGGCAATTAGATGCACCCCTTTGGGAACAGGGTCTTGGGGCCCAGACCATGAGGCTGTGTGCGCTCTCAGCCCCACCAAACCCCAGGCAAGGATGAGTTTTTTGGAGGTGCAGATGTTGGCATTATTTAGCTGATGTTTTACAGATGCTGCTGTACAGTTCTTATATGTTTCTTCATAAATTCAGCACAATTCCGTATTTGTTATTGAACTCCAGACAGCAGATAGAAAAATTATTTGGGTTGGAAAGTTTTCAGGGTATGAAAGAGATGATACCCAGACCAACTGTGGTATCACTGTAATAATACATATCATTATAATAATTTCCACCTTGAGAATTAGGAGCTGCATAAAATAGCAGCATAAAACTGGTGTTTAGAATATAAACTCGGCACCAAGTTCTTGCTGTAGCTGCTGCAAAACTGCACACAAATCTCATCACAGGAATAGTACTATTGTTTTTAATGGATTACATTTTATTAGATTTTGAAGAGTGTTAACATCATAAAATGCACACAGGAAGTGCTGTGTATGTAAAACACAGCCACATTAATTATGAAAGCTAGTAAATGAATCATACATTACTGTAAATATATTATGCATTGCTTACATCGCTTTGCCATGGCATGTTTGCACGATAGAAATAGAAACTAGAAAGGAAGGCTGGAAAAAAAAAACCTAAGAAAAAATGACAACATTAGCTGAGGAGGCGGCAAGAAGAAAGAGGAAAAGCACAGAGGGAAGATGTGATACCAGCACGACCTTATTTTTATACGAAGCCAAACTAATGGCCCTTGTGATATTTGAGTACCTGGGCACTGCAAACCCAGGAGTCGAAGAGAACTCATGGGGTGATTTCTCTGTCAAAGTTATGTGTTATTTTGATAACAGAATCACATGGCCTATCTCACAGAGCATCGCTAGAGCTCACAGATTTCTTTCTATTTTTCACCAGATGACTTTTCGTGCCTGTTTGCAGTTTTTAGCAAAGAGTTGGTGGTGTACTGTATATGGAGAGTGAACTGGCTTTTTAAGATGATGACTTATTTCCTGCCAAATTTGCTTTAAGAAACCACTTTAGTTCTGTGCACAAGCCTTCATGTTGCTTTGATTTATTATCCAGGATATAAATGGAGAGCTGTCTGGTTATAGTGGAATTCAAAGCAAAATTAAATTTTTCTCCTATAGGAAGAACATTACTATTTCACGCAGCCAAAACACATTATCTTGTCTGTAAAACTCTCGCTGTATATTCGTATATTAGGTGGGGAGGAGAGGCATACCACGAGCCTGGGGAGATAATACACATTCGGCTCAACTTGCAGCCAAATCATGATGCGATGCAAGGCTGCTGATCCGTCTTAAAAACTGCAGAGCAGGCTCCTTGAGTACGGGAAAACATAAACCCTCCAGCACCCCTGAGCTTGGTCTCTCTCCCCTCGCTCGGGTTCGTGCTGACACGGAGCCCCTCGCTCCTGGCAGGCAGGAAAGGCAGCTGCCCGCAGAGCTAATGCTGGCAAGCTGGGCTTTTCTTTTGGCAGCTTTCTCTCCTAAGCAAGAGGTATTTTCCAAGTTGGTCATCCCGCTGCCGGTGTTCCCATTGAACCTGCCAGGCTGTTTGGCTGTTTCGATGTCTGCTGGTGGAGAGGGGAAAGCTGGGCTGGCGGAGCGGGGCAGGGGCTGCTCACCCGGGAGCGGCAGCAGGAACCGCATCTCACAGCGCTGCTGGCCTTCCTCCTCCTGCGGCTTTCGGAGGGGCCCCTCTCCCTCGTCGGCATCGCACTGCTGTTGGCACCCAACTGGTCTCATTTGTCTTCAAGGCTCCAGTGCAATCTGCAACAGAAAACAGGATATGTAGTCGGTATTGTGCTAAAACCTTGCTGGGCTCTGCACAGGCAGCGGGGATCTGATATGGCAGTCCATGCCCAAAAACAACTGGATTTTACAAAGAGTTTTATTTTAGGCTCAATTTGGCATGCATACGCTTAATTCAAAGAGCTGCTCCACCCTGTCTCTGCTCAGCGCTCGCTGCCATGCCACGCCAGTGTTAAATACTGCAGGGACAGAGAGGTTGAGGGTTATTAAACCTTACGGAAGAATTTCACCTTTGCCGTACATTGAAGGACCTTTCCATTAAACAACTCATGTTAACAAACTCCACAGAGATGTCTGCTGATTTTTACTGGAGAAAAACCTTTGAAAGAAGGAAACTTAAAACAGGGAGTTTGGGATGAGCTAAGCCCAAGGAGGAGGCCGAGAGCAGACACAAGGGCAGGTGCTTGCTGCTGGCAAACTTTCTGATAACTGCAGCAAACAGCACTGTTCAATAACCTCAATTTTGCACAGCCAAGGGACTAGGGCTGTTCTGGCACCTCATATACACAAATAGTTCTGAGAAATATTCAGGTTTTGATGTCAGCTCTTATTGCCCTCCAAGTTTGAACACCCAAGAATACCAGTTGCATTTTCATTTCCGTGTTAGACCTCACATCACATCTCTGAGATGAAATCATGGAAAAATGTTGGTTGGAAGGGACCTCTGGACATCTTGAGTCCAACCCCCCACCCAAAGCAGGGCTAATGTCCATGTTAAATCATAGTAAGCTTTACAGTATGCAACCTGGAAAAGCCATGAAGGAGTTACATCGCACTCCCTCTCCCCAAGTGACTTTGGTGAGATCTTCCACGTCAAATTCTACCTTTGTCTCACTTTTGGCTGGATAAACTATTCTAGGGAAGTCTCAGGGATTGTACTGAGCACAGAACTGGATTTTCTAAGCCTATAAAGCTTTTGCTGCCCCAATTACATTTCACCATCCATTCTTAAACCCTCAAACACTGACTTAAGTGGCTGTCCTGGAGAAGGACGTGGGCCACTGTGTTTAAATGGTTTGGACTGGGAGAGGGCCAGAACCTGCCAAAATCTGTCTCTACTGATCCCTCTGTGGTTTGGACCAAGCCTTGAAGGAGAACGATGGGGCCAAAACTCATGGTGCATTTTGTACTTGGAAGACGCTTCCTCTTTGTGCCAGCCTGCCCTGCAGCCCCTGGCAGAGGTAAGGACACGGCCTGGGTCCCCGCACAGCCTGCCCTGGCGGCAGACAGCCCTGCCCACCCTCCTTCTGAGAAATGAAAGGAGAATAAAGTGCAAATAAAAATCTAGGAACATTGCAAACAGATCAGGCAAATCAAAACCTTGGGGATGGGTTATTTGCATTTGACAAACCCCTTCTTCCTCATCCATATTCAGCTTTTGCTCCCAAATCTTTCAGTGTCACCCATGCCAGAGAATGGCTGCAATGCCAACGCTTCAAATTTAGGGACTTAGGATCAGCGTGGGAAGCTCAGCAGAGTGACCCTGGGACCTGCGGGACTCTGCAGAGCATCTCTCTTCCTCGGGATGCAAATCTGTCCTGCTTACCATGGTCAGCTGGAGAAATCCACCTGACAGGAGATCGGTTTGGTGCTGTTTAACACCATCTGGCTCACATTAAGTTATTAACATCACAAGGAAAAATGCTGCAGCACTGGTGGCAGGCAGGGACCGGGCAATGGCTGGCACATCATGCATCAGCAAGGCGGCCACATGGGCTGGCGTCGGGCTCCATCCCTCCTCACCCCAGGAGGCTCTGGTGCAGAACCAGAGCTCTGCTCCCTTCTGTCTTATATTTCCACCACCTTAGAGCCAGTAAGAAAAATAAAGCCTTTGGATGATTTCCGCTAGCTCCAGGCAATCTAGAACCTTTGCCAAAGAATTACATAGAGGCAGTATTAAAAAATAGGGTTGTCTCCAAAGTCTTTTAAATACAGAGGCAGCAATCGGCATCGTTCCTGGCAGGCAGGCAGGCAGGGAGACCGACCTACCCATCAGGACCCCATTTTGCGACTTACAGCAGCCTGTCAGGAAAGATCGATAGTTGGCATGGTAACAAGCTCATTTCCCAAGAATAGAGCTCCTTTTTATTAAATTTGGCTGGCTATCGATCAGTTCCTGATCCACGTATCAAAACATGACAAGCACTTAATGAATCACAGATTTTTATTGAGGCGAATAAAAAAAACAATAATATCACGAGGCAGCTGGGGACTGCTGCCTGCTGCCGAGGGCGGCCCGCCGGCTGCGGCCAGAGCCGGGCATGGTGCAGCCAGAGGCAGCTCTCCCGGGCTGGGGCAGGGATGGAGAATGAGTACAAACGTAACCTACTTCTATGGCAATTTCAAGACCGTAATCGGAAGATCCCGTTTTCCCCTGCCATGGACGTCTCTTACAGCAGCATCCCCATCAAGCAGCTTTTTGTGCTGTTTCCCCCCTCCCCACTCACTCTCCGTGGGTCTCTGCTGTTTGTCAATCAACAGTGAAGTTCTGCAGTCCCTCCCCACGGCTCCTGGCCCTCCAAAGCCAGTGGTTTCCCAGAGGTTGCTCTTTGGACCTTGAAACTTTTCCTTCCCCAGCGGGCTCCTGGTTCCCAATGCATCTGCAACCTGCAGGCAGCACAGCCGCATCTTGCTGCAATGAAGCGATTGATATGGTCAGTCCATGCAGACTTGCTGAAATAATCTCTAAAGTTTGTGTTAAACTTATTTACCCCGGTCCTCCCAAGCAAAGCTGTTTGCTTTGCATCCTTAAGTATGCGGCCACAGCCCAGGCAGCAGCTCGGCCAGCCCTCACAGCAGCCTGACATCCCTCCCTGTGCCATCCTGGGGGTCCGCGCTCCTCCCGTTTGCCGTCCCAGAGGGCGGGTAGCTCCGATGTGGCACAGTACAAACCCCTCAGCCTTTCCACAGGAGCGATACAGCCCATCAGGAAGATGATATGCCTGTTCAAATTGCTTTAACGTGCGTTTACATGAGAGATAATAACAGCTCCAAAAGCTTCTTCCAGCCTATTAAATAATACTCACCTAAAATAGTGTCTGAATTCATGCTGAAATGACAGACTATAATAATCCAGTCATATCCATCCAGCATATACAGCCGACTGTAGAGGCTTAGAAAAATTGCAAGATTTATTTATTTACATGATATGGTGTATGATAGCTGATTTTTTCAGGTCATCTCCTGTGACTGCTCTGATACAGAGAAGTTGCTGCAAGAGGTCTCTCTATCTCCCTCTGTCAGGTATTTTAAGAGGAGATAAAATTCCCTGACCACACACAGGTGTGTTAAAGCTTCCAAAAAATAATGGTTCTGCAAACTAGGATAAAAATTTCAGACAGAAGCTAAATACCCCAGCCATGTCCCTGCATCCCTTGGGGACAGTTACCACATCATAACCAATCAATTCATGGTGAAGGCCACAACTTCAAGCAGCTTCATTTAAGGAAGTTCTTAAAAAAATGCCAAAACTTTTAACAAATCAATGTACAGATTTCAGAAGGGCTCAGGCTCTAAGGTCAGGTAATTTGTAAGACTTCGTTTGGCACCTGGGGAGTCTGAACCCCTCTTCCGCTGTCTCGGCAAAGAGCAGGAGCCCAATGCAATGAACCACAAGGTAGGAGATGGTGTTCCTCTGAGGCCAAGGGAGCTTTATTCCTCAGCCCTCCATCACTGTGTGCTACGTGGCACCAACCCACAGCGACGTGTGGCAACCCCTGATGTGGGCATTTGTGCATCTTGATGGTGTCTGTCCCCTCTCCACCCAGGACATTTCTGCTCTGCACCGACAAAGATGGACAAGGGCAAGTCCTCCTTGGATCACTGAGCTGAACACAGAGCAACTCATGAGGCATCTTAAAGCCTTCGGCAGAGTTAAGCGTCATACAGCAATATCACCGTACATACTATGCAGCCAGCAATCTCCACTTACAGGTGGGAAGCAGAGCCCAAACGGTTTATCTGCCTGCAGCCACACCAGTGATCCTGCATGATGGATGGGACTCAAAATGACCAGCGCTCAATGATGTGTTTGGTGCACCATACACAACCATACCTATATATGCACTTCAGGGTGCACTGCTGTTGCTCACGTTCCTACGGGACCATCACCGTACATCATCTGGGCTTGCTGACACTGCTCGAGCACCAGTCTGAAAGGTCACAAGAAGACAGGCCAGGAAGCAGCGGTCGCTTTTTCTTGGGCTTTCAAGAGAAAGCAATGCCTAGAGAGCAGAGCAGAGCAGCCCCCACGCTAGCTGGGGATGACAGAGTGCCCCAGGTCTGCAAAGTCACTGACACGCTCCTCTTCGACTCAGAGCAAAGGATGAACTTTGTCATCACATTACTCATGTTTTTTCCAGATGCTCAAAGAACAGGAAGAAATCAGGTTAAATCAGTAAGTGAACAAGAGCAATTCTCTTTGCATCACCTCCCTCCAAGGGCAATTTTGGAGGAGAAAGAAGAGTGCTGCCTTGCCCATTTGAAAGCTTAGTAAATCCTGCCGACATTTCCACAGGAAGAGCATCACATTCCTATTTGTTCTCTGTTTCAGACTGTGCTCCCAGCCCTGTGTGTTCCCCTCCTGAGAACATTCAACCCAGACAAAGCTACCTAAGCAGCCTAAACACCTGAGAACATGCCTAAAGGCAAACACTGCCAGACGTATCTGGAGATACATCAAATCCATCATGCCATTTAGCTGCTTCTGAAGTCTGACTCTGTAAGAGCGGGACCCATCCGGACCGGAGGTAGGCATTTGGTTGTGGAGCAGTGGGCATGGTTTGCCTTGACATTGAAGAGCTGAGCTCCATGTAGAGCCTGAGAGCAAGGCGAGCTTCACAAACCACAGACAGGTTTTCCCCACACAGCCCTGGCTAGCTGGTGCCAGCCCCTGCCCAGCTGCAGAGCCGAAATTCAGCCAAAACAGCTCAGCA